CTTGTAGTGACTATGCCACATGTGAGTGCCGGCGACGTCGGCAGTAAAGTTGTAGGTCATCTTCTGTCCAGCCTTGACGGGACATTGGGTAAGGGGCGTTCCGTCGTAGATGGGGGCGTCTTTGAGGTGCATACCATGCCAGTGGATTGAGACGTTCTGCGCCAGTACACCCACAGGAGGAAGCTCGTTGGTTACGCGAACCACGATGCGGTCCTCAAGGTGGGCTTGAATGCACGGACCAGGAAATTCACCATTGACGAGCTGCATTGTGCGCGGCGTCCCGTTGACATTACGCGTTTCATTTCGGACGGAAAAGTGGCAGGTTACTGTGGAGGTGGAAGCATTGCGGCGGCAAGAGGAGTCGGTCATACATGAGAGCTTGGAGATGGCGTTGATCCTCTTGCTATCCGCCGCATTGATTTCATGGGGAGCTGCTGCCGCCAGAAGCGAGCAGAGAAGGACAGTCAACACGTGAACCCTCATGGCGGCTTGGTGGAGTGGACGAGGAGTTGCACAAGGAGAAAGAGGACGTTCGCATTTCAGTGATTTTCTTGGACCCCAAGGAAGGTATATATTTATTAAAGGGTCCCTCCGAAGATCTTGAACAGCGAGAGGATGACAAGATCGTGCATGCGAGACGGTGTACAATCGGCAAAGTCGACTTGAGCTTCAGAGCTGAACAAAGTAGAAACTGGCACTCCTGCCTTCACTTTTCTTGCCGAGAGGTGAAAGAAACTTCGAGGTGTGTACACACGTGCCCTCGGCAGCAACATCTTCTGAGTTGTGCTGGTCTATCATTGCAGCGGTTCGAGAATTCCGCCCGGACCAAGCACCATGCACCACAAGTGGAGTATGTGTCAAAGTGAAGCAACCTGGACTCATTTGACTGAACCTTCAGTCCTAGACGAACAAGTGTTTTCTTTGAGAATCACTCGTGCCCGCTCGATACTTTGCCGTGGGGGCGGAAGCTGCTGTGCAGAAAGGCCAAAATGCAAATTTAACGAGTGGTTCAATTTAGAAGAGGACCTGCATGCTACCGCAAAAGTTGGTTTGTTGGAGTTCGAATATACTTAAAGAGAAAGTGCAAGGGAAGGCCTCGAGCGGTGACAGGAAGGTGAGGTAGAGGAGCACAGCTGGCGCTCAAGCCAAGTGTCACGTGAGTGGTATGGTTTTAGCTTGTGAGTTCTATAGTTCATCTTCCGTTCCTTAGCCTCTTGGGGACATTTCACCAACCAGGCACATGCATGTAAATGTTGTATGTGCTGTCCAAGGCTAGCTTGGTTAGAGCCAGCCTCTGCAAATCTTCCCAAACCTTTCCCCAATTGCCGTCGGCCGCACGCCCTGCGCACTGCATCTACTGTACCTGCGGTAGGTACCCGTATGTAGCCCGCGGTTCGGGAAAAGGGACAGCGTGTATGAAGGAGAGCAATAAAAGATGAAGAAGAATTAGAAAGTGGATAGAGTAACCACGGCAAGCTCGACGAGAAATTTCACAAGTACAGTGCACGATAGGTGACCGCACCAAAGGTCAGCTGTCCTTTGCATTCAGTTCATTGGGCCCTAACGAATGATTTATAGCGAGTGTGTGAATGGAGAAGAAAATATGCAAGAGTTGGTACAGCTGGCGCGAACAATCAATGGAACCAATGGCAACCTTTTGTGCATTGCCTTTCCATATGTGCCGGTGCTGACGCCCAGAGCCGTAAATGAAAACGTCGCATGGCTCTTTCGGGCCGCGCTTCGTTCTTGCGCCCTTCAAAATAATGACATTTGTATACGTACGTGAGACCAGAACCAAGCTGTCGAAGTCACCAGCCAAACGAATCTCTGCAAAGAAAACCATCCCATATTGAGGAGTTGCATCCTCATGGCCCCAAAAAGCATCGCTATCATGATACCACTGGCGAGTTCCATTCCACACCTCAGCTCGCACAGACGTTCCCCAGCGGCCAGCATGTGTCTTACCCATAAAGACACACTGCCGCTCTGCAAATGGCTCTTCAGTACTTCACACCGGGGTAGAACCAAAGGGGGTCACGTGGCACAACTCCACTCACCGGTGGGCTTGCGAGGGACGACATGCTCGTACTTACCCACGTCTCCATGCTCGAGCCGGAGCTCGGAGAGTCCGTTGGATTTCCTCCAGGATTGAAGCTATCCAGGGCTTGGCATCTTCCACCCTGCTGGCCGGCCTCAGTATCAGTTGCTTTCAGGGTTTCGTCATTATCGTGCAATCTGTGCACGCCCCCTCCTCCGTCGCCTGGTCACGCGTGACACGCCCTTGGACTCTTTGCAGTTAGGCTCGCAGGCTCCACCTGCGCCCGATATATCCACCACCTGCTGCTCTCGTGCGCCCGGACTTGCGCTTGCAATCTCACGGCCTCGTCGAGCCGCGTATTGACAGCGTCAACCATCTGAAGCATCACACCTCGCCAACAGTCCAGGGCTCCCAACTAGCGGCGGGGATAGACAGGCTCCATGACACACATCCGTGTGTCTTGTTTAATCACTGCTGCACTGACGCATCTATATCTCTCAACCCCCGAGACCTAACGCAACCAGAGTTGCTTATGGAACGCTGAATGTCCAACAATGGACGGCGGATGAATTCGTTTCTGCTACATACCTGCAGGCTTGACAGAATCCGGCTGGTTCGATGAGACCAATCTAATCTGAAAAACAAGGCGCTAAAGCAGTGCAGCTGCGTCACTGTCGGCCACCTCGACCCAGTAAAGCTTCTTTGTTCATCCCAATCCACAAATCACGGAGGCCCCGATGCCAGGCGTCCTGCATGCCAGACACCAGATGCCATCAGCTTCCCGGATATCAGATATCGGATTTACTGCTGCTCGCCTCCCTGACAATATGTGTCCAACGATGCATCCATCGGATGACAGACAACAGGACGCATTTACTGTCATTTGCCATATACGGCGGAGCCACCGATCACTGACTTCTCGTATCTTTCGTGCCTTTCACGTACTACTTTGTGCCGATGCTGGCTTCAAACTGATGACCGATGGCTGCTGACCAGGACTTTCATTATGCGCTGGATATGCTGAAGGATCCCATCGCATCTACGATCCCTGGGCAATTCGCACAAATTCATAGAAAGAGTTAGCGCTCGTTGTACGCAACATGGAAGTCATCTAAACCTCGCACCAACATCGTTTTGATCCGCCCTCACAAAATTTTCGACACTATCACCTGCATAATCTCGTGCGCTAGGACCTATGTACACCGTATCTTCTGAAGTTGCGGGCAGTATCCAAGCGTCGAGAACTCCCTATGCCGGAGCATCACAGCTTTCAACGATACACATGGTGGTAAAGCGGGAGGCAAGCCCAGGGCCCAGGGCACACTCTCATACATTCAAGGGGCGGCTTCGATGTCCGAACTTTGCAACAGTACAGCACACACAAGTTTCCAGCAGGTGATGATGTCAAGGAGCACACGCCGCGCACGTGGGTCCTATGCCGTCTGCGCATCACAGGCCCTCTGTAACCTTTACGCTGGTCTATGTACGTGCCTGGCTCACTTCATTTTGCAACAATATCAACACGTTCAACGAGAGCAGGCCAGCAAAGATTCCTCCGCTATCCATGGGGATCCTGGAGACAGACGGATTCGTGGCCAGATCTCGTCGAGAAGAAAGAAACAATGCTGGGTGGACCACATTTCAAGGCCACATGTGACGATATGACGGGCCTCCATTGATTCTTCAAAGCCGAGGTATTTGGTCGTATGTAATTCGTAGAAGGAACAAGCAGCACGCAAAGTGCAACGTGCAAGATCAACTGCCTTTTTTCGGTGAGTGAGCTTGCGTAGCTCGTGCCCACCATTTGTACGCGGTTCATTCGCGCCCTTCTTCCCTTTATTTCACGCATAGTCCACTGCCTCTGCTCTCAAAACGACTGCATCGACCTGTGGGTTTGTATAAACTTGCCGCCGTTTCTTCGGGCAGAGGCTGATACATGTAGCCTTTGCAGTGGCACGTCCACGCATGACACCAACCACGGCTATTTAGAGAAGCTGAAGGAAGTGGAGTGGAGAAAAAAATCTGGGGCCTGAGAGAGGCGCGGATCTGGTTAGTTGCAGGCCAGCGAGCTGATTTGTAGCGAGGGCTAGCTTGGATCTGATCTAGTTGCTCACGTGGAAGTACCCATGCGACTCATCTGCGTAGCAGTCTTAAGGGGACATGGATTGCAGGAATCAATGCATCTACTGCGGTTATAGAGGCTATGAATGATGGTCGAGTTGTGTAGACCTTTTTCCAACTAATGAGTACTCTGGTTTGAATTAAAGGACACCTTGAAGTCTTGTCCGTCGACGGTCAGTTTCATTTGATTTGCGACGGAGTGAGCAACCCAGTTTATGTGGTAAAGTGGTTAACTCAGGTAGTAATGGTCGTCTGGATATTGTCGCCGGAAGATGACTGACGATCTGCCAGCTGTCACTCTTTCGGGGACCAGCTGGGCCTTTCTATTGGATGTTTGTGACCTTGTTCTGCCAGCAATCTGCCAATGAGTGAATGGTGGTCAGCCAACCACAGAGAATCTCCGATCCTCCGGCTATACCACTCTTAGGTGGATTTTGTGTGGACCGTTGGATTTCGATGTGATTGTTCTCTCAATCTCATCCTGATCCACAAGAATTGATATGTGCAGGTATGATTTTTATCCCATTGAACGACCGCGGAGTGGAGAATGGCGAGTGATGAAAACGACGGCAACAATTTGGCCTGGCTCGAAGGGCACTTAACCTGTGCCAATCCTCACGCCAAGGCGCTCCTGGAAGCGTCGAAAGCTTCTAAAGACGGGAGTGTTCCCGCTCAGCAAGTATCTATGCTTTTCATGCATACCAGTCAATCGTACATTTCTCTGCAGTACTACACGTTTTCAAAGCCCAGCACTGGCAAGGCCGTACCAACCTGGAACTACGCCGCTGCGCAAGTGACGGGGCAGCTATTCGTCGACGAATCACCAACATTTGTACCCAAACAGGTGAACGATTTGACAGACGACCACGAGGGGCGCTTGCACCAGCAGCAATGACCGCGAGTGTTTCAAAGCATTTGGCAGGTCGAAGACGCACCAGCCGCCTACATCAGTCAAATGGGGAAGGCCATCATTGGGGTGCGCATAAAAGTAGAAGGGCTTGAGGAGATATTTAAGATGAGTCAGGAGTCACCTTTGAAGGATCGAGGGGGCGTCGGGGCAGGGCTAAGAGCTGCGGGTGTCGACAACGTCGCTCCGATAGTTGAGTGACGCAGCAACGACCTCGAAGAGGCAAAGCTGCACATACAGCCACTTGACTCTGGACCGATATGCGACACCCGAAGTCTCTCCTGCCTCTCAGAAAGTGGCGTGACGTAACGTAATTACTGCCTATGTGTGAAGCCCTGTGTTGTTAATGAATAGGAGTGCATGCGTGGCACAGCACAGACGATATCAATCAGGTTTCAGGCGAGCTGGGAATTGCCGAATAAGCTCATCAAGATGTAGAACTTCTTGCACATGATTGTCTACGATTGCTTTATCATCGCATAAGCACCATCTGTCCTCTTTGACTGCATCTACCGCGCTGCGGGGCGCGTTTTGAACTTCAGATCTGCAGAATCCATCTGGAACTAGGCGCAACGGACCCAATCGTTCCTCTCAGTCGTTATGCCATCTGCCGTGTACGCATCCCACGTAACAAGCTCGATTCCCGGAAGCAGATCGCCCGCCCGCTCAATTGGCTTAAGAAACACACCCAGAGCGTTAATCCCTCGCTTTGGCACAACAAGGTGTTCCTAAATGGCGATGATTTCCACGCCTGTTGCTGCCAGAAAAGATAGCTCTGGAAAAGATGGCAAGGCTTGGGGACGTGCCGTACGGAAAGTCGCCAACACTCAGCACCAACTCAGCCGAAACGAAGACACCAGGCAGGGAGGATGCGCGAGAAAGCGCCGGAGCGCATCGAATTGCTTGCCGATCGCGAAGGTTCACGTTGTAATGCCTCTCAAGCACCACACCTGCTCGGAACCAGTGAGGCGATCGTAGGGAAGGAGGCGATGGGCGATTTGAGGGTTCTACCGTGACGAGTTGCGGTAAAGAAGGCAAGTATAGTCATGTCGGATGTCGATGAACTGGCTGACGACTATGACCAACTCGCAAACAATGGCCCCCCAGTACGCGTGGGCTGTGAGCACGAATTTGGAAGGTCGACCAAGTCTTTGCCGGGTTCTCTTTGGAAGAATCTTGTTCAGTGAATGATTTGCGAGGATGAATCAACTTGTGAGGATCTTTGAACTTGGTTGATCTCTAGGGCTGTCGAACATCTCAGCTGACGGCTTATGCTGATGGGAGCGTTCAGCTTTTATGTGTTCATACAAGCTTGAGCAAGCGATATGCTTCATTAGCCATTGGGTCCCTCGAGCATCGATTGCCACGGTAGCGAGTAAAAGTTCATGTTCTCCTCTGGTTGCTCAACTGCTGATCGCCAGCGCTGATCACTGTGCTCAGACTGCCAGCATGTGTTGTGCTGCGCACCGCTTAATTCACACCGTGCACTTTCCTGAAGCTTCCAACGTGCTGCCCGTGTGCTGCTCCGTGGATCCATTGCATACTCGTCCACAGGTTGGGACATCATGAGAATCCACCTGAGCGCTACTTCCAGTTAGACAATGACAAAAAGAAATCCAATCTCAAATAGAAATTCCCAATGGCCTTAAACATCACGAACACAAGAGAGCCAGCATACGTAGAGGCCGCTCACCGAAACTGATCCGGCCGAACAACACTCAGCGAAACCGGGTTGTTTTGCGGCTTGCGCGCCCGACTCGGTAACGCTGCTGCGTCTTTCACCAATCTCTCGCCCCATCAACCAAACGAGAGCCTGAGGAAAGATGGGCCATTTGTGGTCCAGTCATCAGCCATCGATGTAGTAGCTTCACCCTCACGGCTTGGCCATGGTGGTCTCGTTACATCGAACAATTAGCATCTCTTCTTTGCGACCTGCGGAGCGTGGAAGCCAGTGGGGCGTGGACAGTGGAAACTCGTCTGCCATCTGCGCAAAGCTCATAGGGAGCCAGTGCCGAGACTATGTAAAGCACATCTACAAACTTGTGATACAGGCTCCACCAGGAGTCTGCGATGAGTGAAGCCTGTCACCGCCGTGCTAAGAGAAGCGTTCGGCGTTGCCACCGGCTGTCGGGGAACGACCTGTTGCGCCAGACTCTGCCAGGCTGCGCCCATGATCCAGGCTTTAGAGGTTGTACATACAAACTCGCCAATTTTTGGTTCAAGTTCCTACATGCTATTGCTGCTCCGAGTTTCCAAAAGATGGAAATGCGGTTGAATGGAATCTGAAAGACTTGCTAGGACGTCTTGTGGATCTGTCCATCTGAGCTCGCACGGCCGGCTTCAACAGGCTCCAACCTACTGCGTACTATGTATACGAGTACATACATGCAGCCGACTCTCTGTTTCGTCTTTCGACAGCACTCCAGCTTCAACATAGTTCGACCAACGTTTGTGACTACATATCCAGTCATCATCAGCGCGTCACCTTCCCATGCCCCTTAAAGCGCCTCGCAAGCTCGTCGCTTAGCAATCTCCATGTGACGCGAATCACGCAATGATGTGGAACTCACTCTGCGACATGGCACAGCAGTGGAGGTCAAGAATGCCACACGAGACAAGGCGGTTTGTATTCTTTTACCACTGGATGCGGCGTTGCCTGTCGCCTGTGTACATGTGTACCGCGCCGATCGGATCCACACTATACACACAGCCAAACAGGACACGGATCGTCTGCATTGTCAAAAGGGAAGTAAGGCAGAGTCACGGGTCAGTTTAATTTTGCGAGTCCCGTCGCCTGTCCGCTGTTCCTGGCGGGGGTGTGCACGGTGTCTCGAAGAAACTGATGCAGTGCGGGGTGTAAGCCAACAACACGTGGAATAGCGCCACAACTTTTTTCGATGAAGTGGAAATGGTTCTGGAATCTGGAACCTGGAATCTGGGCAGTGGAGAGTGTGTGGAAATGATGCCATGCATGCGATTGCAGCTGCATTGCCACCCCCTTTGCCCGCCACTCACACAGATACACCCGCTGCCAGAACTCAGCTGAAGGGTATAAAAGCTGGCCTATGCTTGTGGCACAGCCATGGGGACCGTGACATCGCCCACTCCCACCCGCCCCACCCATCGCTCTTCTTTTCTACACCCTCATAACCTTCACGCTCTGCAACCATGAAGGTCACCCTCGCCTTCGGCCTCGCCCTCGCGGCCCTCGTGTCGGCCAACCCGGCGGTTCTTCCTCAGGCGACGCCCGCCCCGCTCGCCATTGCCCGCCAGGCCGATGAGTCTGGCGCCATCGTGAGTAGCTCCATCTGTTGCGCATTGCTTCGCACACTCAACGTAGCCGGGGGGACGCACTGACCGCTTTCACCTGGTCCCATAGTCGACCGCAATTTCTCAAGCACAGTCGGCACTGTTGCAAGGCGCGTCGGTCTTCTCGCAGCTCGGCGGCGAGCTGCCGGCGTCGCAGTCGGCGTCGTTTGCCGCCATTTTTAGCTCGATGTCTGGGCTACTCTCATCCGCGAGCGCCGCCGCACCGACCGACCCGGCCAAGGCAGAGAGCATCCTCGGAAACCTCGCCACGCTCGCGCCGCAGATCGAGAGTGCCGCGGGCTCGCTCCTGAGCGCCAACCCTTCCGCCTTGTCCGCCATTTCGGCAGCATCGAGCAGCGCATCCGCCGCCCAGGCCAGTGGAAATTCGAAAGGCAGCAAGAATGGCGCTGCCGCCGCCGGTGCTAGTGTCGTCGCCACTGGCCTCGCTGGTGCCGCCGCCGTTGCTGCCGCCGTCGCCATGCTCGCTTGAGCGTAGCGGTGCCTTGTGAGATGCATTTGGCCACCCACGTGTTTTTGAGGTCTCCTCCATTTGTACTCTTGTCACGGGATATATAACTTCCTCCATGCAGATCATCGGCGTCAACGGTAAGAGGCGTGCGAGCTGAAGAATACCTGCAACGCATCAACGCTTACATGTCACGGAGCTGGGCTCGCCTACCGGCTTCTCGTCGTTAACCCCCCCCCCCCTTCTTTGAGCTGAAGTGCAAAGGCTCACTGCAGGTCGCATTTGTCTGGTCTATATCGACGAAAGGGAAAGTGTGCAAACGGCGACGGCGATGGCATTCAGCAAGTCTAGCAGGTGCTCCGCCTCGCGTGTGGGAAGGATTGAGTTCCAAGTTTTTGTCACTGTGGACAATGCGTTGCTCGTTACAGGAGCATGGTGGCGGCCGAAATGCGAAAGCACGACTCGAACCATAGAACTCTTCGAGCTAACGGCCTTATCCCCCAAGCGCTGGGCTGCACCCATTTGCTACTAGCCGCAGAGGACATCTTCATAGCGATCGGCGACCAGTACCGTTGTTCACCAATACCACATTTTGGCGCAGTCCTCTACATTTGAAAAGAAAGCTTGGCCATTAGCTCTGTCATCATACACATTTTCCCTCTTTGGGCCCCAGCGCACCAGGACCAATTTATTAGCTTTGGCCTTTCAGCAGCCGCTTCGCTCCCTTTGACATGGCGATCGTCAATCCATAGTGCCGATACTGCTCCTATCCTCACTGTCAACTATTTTGATGGAAATTGCACCACAATTGAGACCTCGCGATGGTTCCGCAATATTCATATTTCTGTGTTTCTCTCGAAGCCAATCGTAAAGAAAAACGCGTGTTTCCTATTCGTTCGTTTCTTCAGCTCTGTCATTGCGGTGTGCGCCAAGTGCGGCGCTGGGTCCTCTTTGTCCTATCAAGCAAGAAATGGAATGAGGTGCCGCCGTCTTGATTCGCTCGGAGTGCGTGCTTGCATGACATCAACCAGTAGGCGCGCGGCATGCCTAAATACGTTCGAATGAGCACCTGATGATGACATGGGTGTTGCGCCCCTCACCGCTCCGTGTCCGTTTCCAGCTCCTAAGCGATAAAATGACACAGGACAGCGATCCGGCGACTCGGACTGATCAGTGTCACTGATCTCTGCACGTGGATTTACACTAATTCGAGTTATCGCAGGCGCTAACGAGAACGCTGACATGCTCAAAGGTCGAAGCTGGTGCAGTTGACGCGTACGCCAATGTGAATGCAGTCCTGTCGAGCGTGGGCAAGATTTATACGTCCAGCTGAGGGCTGCCGAAGGATGTATACACACTGGCTATACTCGTGATGCTCACTGAAGCACTCGATCTCTTTGATATACCTCCCTGTTCCCTGCTGACCGTTCCTTGAACAAGAGTCTTTCCCGCCTTTCTCCCCCGTTTGCTCCCTTCCCCATGCGCTTACACCATGTAACCCACGAAGAACACGCTGCTCTTCGCTCTTACTCTCACCGCCTTGGTCTCGAGCCAAACCGGCTGTTATTTCAAAGTCACCCCTGCCCTGTTCTATGTTGCTCGCCAGGATTCATCCGATGTTAGCTCTGCAGATCTCATGAGCGGATTTTCTCCTCTTGACGAGCCTCCGTCATCTCCCTGCGGTGAATACCAAGAGATTGACCGCCTCTTCCATCCTTGCAACGCACCTAACCAAAGTCGAGTGCCACCTCGGAGGCGCAGTCTGGATACGCCGGAGTCGCCTTCATCATCTCAAAGGAAAGTGGAGCCATCGGTCCCGATGCATCGTCCGCTTTCCTTTCGCGCGCAACTCCTTTTCCGGCGGCTTCGTGTAGGCAAATGCTGCCGCAAAGAATAATGCCGCGTAGACCGAACGCATCGTCGAACCTCTTGCAGCGCTCACGGATCAGGCTGAGAGCCTCGCAGAATCCCTTCTCAGAAACAACCCAACTATTGCGTCAACTGCCTCTTCCGAAGCCAGCGCAGAAGCCTCCGAATCCGGTATTCGGTATGAGTCCGTTTTCAGCAGGACTACCTCTACTTTCTGCATAGCTAACTACGCCACAGCGAGCGTGACTGCATGCAGACCCAAATCTGGTTTCAGGGTGAAAGTCAACATTGCACTTGGCGCAACCTTGGGCTCCACGTTTATGATCCAATGCTAGCCGGTCGGTCGAGCGACCAAAAATGAAATGCGAGGCATACAAAGTTGCAGCGAGACCAGACATACACTAAAAAAACAATCAACTCTTACTCGGAGGAGGGGGTGCGCCTTCAGCCCCGCCCTTGACCTTTCTGCCTGCTCCTTTGCTTCTACCTTTTCCACCTCCCGTCGCGGAAGAGTGCGTGCCAGACCCCAAAGTGGTACCACTGAGATTTGCGCCTGGCAAGCCACCAGTGGTGCCTTCCTCAACAAAATCAGCCGTGATGAAAGGATGCTGAAGTAGCTCATCTGCATCCGGGCGAAGGTTGAAGTTGACCTCGAATGTTTTGTTCAAAAAGTCAACTGCTTGTGCCGAGATCTGATCCGGTAATGTCGGCTTGGCAGAGGAGCCAATCTTGAAGAGCGCTTGCATCTGATTGAGGTTAGCCCATGGATGCGTACCGCTAATCATCTCTACCACCAGACAGCCCAAACTCCAGATGTCCGCCTTGCGTGTGTACGATGTTTGCTTGACCACCTCGGGCGCCATCCAGAACACACTACCTTGCAATGAAGCGCGATGGCCGCCACCAGTGACAAGCAGGTCTAAAATTCAAAAACATCAGCACACGTGCGGACGGGATCTCCAACAAAATCGGACTCACTGCTTTCCACCTTCTTGCTGATGCCAAAGTCTGAAATCTTGACTTTTGATGCAGTGTCGACGAGAATGTTGGCGCCTTTGATGTCCCGGTGCACGATGTCCTTCGCATGCAAAAAGCTGAGGCCTTCGAGAATCTGCTTGGTGAATTTTCGGACAAGTCCCTCTTGGAGGGCACCATAATTGTTGAGAAGAGCCGCGACAGAGCCCCCTGGGACGTATTCGAGGAAAATGTTGAGATGCGTCTCATCCGCGTACGAGTCGAGGTACTGGACAATGTTGGGATGTTGCAACGTCTTGAGCAGTTCGATCTCCCGTTCCAGCGCCTCCAGCATGTCCTTCTTGCGCTTGTCACTATGTGACTCTCCAGTTGGCAGCTCTACCTGTTTGACGGCCATGATGATGCCCGTCCGCTGGTTCATACCCAGATACACATTGCCAAAGGAACCAGCGCCAATGAGCGCGCCTTTGATCCACTTAATACGCTCTTTTCCAGCTATTAAGGGGTGCAATAGTGATTAGTTGAGTTCGACCAAAGATGCATGGCATGACTCACGTTCTTCAAAGTCCTCGTCTTCGTCCTCATCCCCGGACTCGGTCAATTCCTCCTCAAAGTCCAGATCGTCATCCTCATCTCCGCTTTCGACCAGGTCGCTGCGCAATTCTGTACCCGCTGTTCGTGGAGAGCCTTGAATCGGTGGAAGGCCCGAAGAAGCTCCACTCTCTGTTGGTGCAGTCGAGAGACTCGAAGATGCGACATCATAAGCGCTAAAGATGCTACGGCGCTCAGCAACGTTCGGGGACAACATGCCCTCGCCATCATCCGTGTCCTCTTCGTCCGTGATAGCGAGCATGCTACTTCGAGGGCTTGGGCGGCGAATGCTGCCCGGACGCGAGCTGTGCACACTGTCTCGGTTCTCGACCTCTTGTGTGATCTCATCGACTGTAAGCAAGCTTGCAGTGTCACTCTTGTCCTTGTCGCGCAACCGGGAGCTAGCCATGCTTCGTCGACTTCGCACGCTTTCGCCAGAATGCCTTCGTATCGAAGGCGGGCGTGGCAAGGTCGAAGGAGCATTGCGCGATGTGGGCCCAGAGGGCAGGTCGGGATTAGGCGAGCCCAATTCATGCAAGTTTGCAGACCAATCGTCGAGCGAGCTGCGCCTGACTACGGGTGGTAGCGTAGGAGGGGTATCGATCTGTGCATTCTGAGCGCTTCTGGCGTCAATATGAATGATCGGCATCTCAGGTTCTTCTTCCTTGCCTGGTATTGGAGGAGCGTCCGGATCAGCGGTGAACGTCCACGTGCTATCGCGTCGCGACCGGGTTGACCCGGAGCGATACACCGATTTGCCGTAGATGGAACGGCGAGCCGTGCGCTCCAAAACGCGTTTCTCCGTCGCGGGAAAGTAATCTTGCAGATGCGATGAAATCAGCTCCGAAGGCGGCCGCTGGCCAAAGAAGTTTCGTGCGCGTCGTGGCAATGGAATACCGGGCCCAATAGGCCGACCATCCTTCTTTGGTAACGGCGGCCGAGGGCCGGCAACGGGCCCGGGGCTGCTTGAGCCGCTGAGGGCATGAAGAATGTTGGCCGTGCTGGCGCGATGGATTCGCTTTCCGGCCGTGGTGACTGAGTCTTCAGCAGTCGCGTCTTCCTCCAGAATGCTAGCGCTCTTCGGCGATACTCCGTACCCTCCGCTGGGGGGCACGCGCTCGCCGAAAAATGCCTCAAGCTTGTTCCTGCTGGCCTTGAAAGGACGCCTGGACATTGTGGAGGCTGCGTCGTTTGTTTCGCCTGCATCTAGGATTCCATTAATGCGCACGAGTCTGAGTCCCCGCTCGCGAAGAGGATCGTGCACCTGTGGTGACTGGCAAATGGCCAGCAGCTCGTCGTCGTCCAACAGCTTGGTCTCCCCGTTCGAGCTGGTAGCTGAGATGCGCCAGATGTTTCCATCGGCGATGAACTCTGTGTCCATAGGGGACAATTGCGAATCAAAGTACGTCCGTGTGTAGCTGTTTCCTCCAGCAGACTTGCCAAACTTCTTAAGCACACGCGCCAGCACTTCCCATGCATCACGGCAATCATTGATGTTGATCATGCGCGTCGCCCCGTCATCGCCGATGAACTTCATCGTGCGTCGCTTGACATCCTCCAGAGACAGAGGTGACGTGAGGCTCTCGCCGTAACGCCCTTGCTGCCCCACATACTGCGCCTGTTGCATCGCCATGCTCGTTTCGTACGGCGTCCCTGGTGTGGTGGGCCGGTCGTTGCTGCGGAAGTCACGCTGGTGCTGTGAAGACTGCTGTTGCTGTTGCTGTTGCTGTTGCTGTTGCTGTTGCTGTTGCTGTTGCTGTTGCTGTTGCTGGTGCTGTCGCTGGTGCTGTTGCTGTTGCTGGTGCTGTTGCTGGTGCTGGTGCTGTTGCTGGTGCTGTTGCTGGTGCTGTTGCTGTTGCTGATGCTGATGCTGATGCTGATGTTGTTGCTGGTGCTGTTGTGATTGTTGTTGCTGATGCTGCTGGAATGGACCGCGACCGACAGAATAGCCTAGATCATTGCCGCTGCCCGGTGTAAGGGGTAACATACTCTCCGTGATGGGTGGGAGAGCCAGGCCAGCTACATTCATGCTGCTGCTGCCTGATGTAGTGGGCCGATTACCAAAGCTGCCGCTCGTCGGGCTTACATTGTCTCGTCCGCTGGATCGATCATTCCCACCAGTACGCATGCTCATCGGGTGAGCGCCGCCCACGACCCCTGATGACGTGTTGGGACGCGGCCCGTTGGTGTTCCCTTCCATCCCATTGCATGTGCCGCCATTTCCACCACCATACTGCCCCGTCGACGTACCCGGCCGCGATACTGCATCGCCTCGTTGTACTTGCGCCCTCGGCCCAGATTTATTGAACATGATGGCGTTGGTCGCCGCACTCGAAGTCACGTCCCCTGCAGATGCAACTTTGCGATGTTGCTGCTGTTTCTGCTGTTGTGATTGCTGTAGGTTTGCGTAAGGATGCTGCTGCAGACCCGGGCTTCGCGCGAGGGAGAGGCCATTCCTTCCAGAGCTGACGATCAGGGGACGCGTGCCAGGCGCAGCTGTCGGACTGAGTCGGCCAATGTTCATGTGCTGCTGTTCTCGCTCTCTGTCTCGCTGTTCACGCTCTCGCAGCTTTGTGGCGGCAGCGGCAGCAGCAGCGGCGGCCTGCTGACTGGTTGCATTCAACGTCGGAGCATTGGCCGCCGATTTTGCAAGGTGCAACGGTGGAGGCCGCGTCTGTGCTAGCCGGCGAGAACCCATGGAAGTACCAAAGCTGCTGATTGAGGTTGAGCCGGCGGGAACGCCAACGCACTGTGGACCGCTGATGCTGCTGGTAGGCAGGGCGCTTTTGTCGTCCTTAGCAGAAGTCTGCGTTGGTGCCTCATGAGGCAACGGATGCGAATGATCATGAAGGTTATCCAGCACTTCCATCTCTCCATCAACTTCCTCCTGGCTTCCCTGCCTTTGGCTCCTCGACGTCTGCGAGCGCTTATCCTGCTGGGCCTGCGTCTGGTGCTGCTGCAGCTGATGCAAGAAACTGGTCATACCTGAACCGGTTGAGCTGGCCGAACTGAGCGGACCGCCTGCGCCTGTACCACCCAGACCGCCCGGCCCAAGCACGAGATGGCTGCCCATCGCGCTTGCATTGCTCGATGCAGTAGAAGAGAAGGAGCTGCTGAAGGAAGAGGAGGAGGTAGAGCCGGCGCTTGGGATGCCGTTGCCACTCATCACGCTTCCGCTCCTATTGCGAAAGTCAAACGGCACCGGGATCGGCTGGCCACTTCGGCCAGGCGTGCCCGACGTGTTATGCGTGCTGGCGCTGCTGGTGCTCGTGACGGAGCTGGCGACGCTAAACCTGCGCAAGACAGCATCTTCTGCGCACTTGCGCTTGAGCCCCTTGATAGCGTTTGCGATGCGTAATCGATCGCCAACCGAGGTGATGCCCATCTCTTTCAGCGCCGCATTGTCGACATCGAGCAGGACGCGCCCAGTGATATCGTTGGAGCTAAAGGTGCCAATGTATGACGAGAGCGACAGGCTGGTGAGCCATTGTGCTACATTCGCAGAGGACCATCGTTTGACTTTTGCGACGAACATAGTAACAAACGTGAGCGTTCAGCCCAGGCTCGCTCGGCACCTCCCCCACAAAAGCAGGAAACTCACTTTCGTCCATGACGGGCCCCGAACCTGCACTGGTAAACCCACTGCCCACGCTCCCGACACTCATACTGCTGGCGCTGCTGTTCGGTGGTACGCCATAGGGCATTGCACTTATTCCACCGCTACCGCTGCCTCCGCCACCGATGCCCATGCCACCCTGTCCAAATGAGCCCCCGCCGCTATATGCCGACTGCCCTCCGTTGTGGTGCTGCTGATGGCGATACGGATGTTGTTGTCGAGACCCAGCGGATGAGGTGCAAGCAGAGGATGTGGGGGGTTGCAGCAAGGTATGCGAGCCCTTTTCCAGGTTCCCGGGCGGATGGCTGGGTACACCGAGATTGAGCCCAATGGCACCAAGATAGGGAGACGTGTCGCGTGAAGATGGGGATATCACAGACGAGGCAGCTGATGAAGAAGGGGACGGCTCTGGCCGTTGGGATGTAGAGGTCGTTTCCACGTTCAAGTTTGGCGGGTTGAGCGTTGTGGCTGCCATCGTGGTTGGCCAAGCCGGTCGGCCTCCGCTGGCTTGATTTTGCTGCAGAAGCGAGATCGAACGTCAGCCGAAGAGCTGAGTGGCGCGACAACGAGTGCGTATGCGCTGCTGATCGCCTGCGAAACCCTGACCAGGTGCCTGCTGCCAGGATCGGACGGAGGTCACGAGATTACGCGCCACAGCAACAAAAGCCCTCGATGCTGGTCGAGGGGAAGGGCTTTTTTCTTTGACTCCTTCGCCTGTCTTACCAGGACCAGACCAGCGAGCTCGAAGCTGTTATCGATGCGTCATCCAAGCGTGGGCGACCAGGGTCCTGCAGCTGCGGCATATCGGGGCAATCAGAGCATCCGTGAGATAGAGATGTCGACGACCGCACCCAGTCTAACTCATCATATATGGATGCCCTGTGCCGCAGACTGGTTGCATGGCAGCAGACCGCGGTGGATGCCCAATGGGTGTAGTCAGCCAGGCACTGCAGCAGTTTCAAGATGTCAAATTCCATCGAACCTTGGCTTTGGAAAGTCGCCGAGCTTTCTCGGTGTTCTCCGTAGTCCACTCATTCATCAAGTCCACCTCATCGAGCATCCTAGATATTCTCATCAATTAAACTGTCAACTTTTCCAGATTCGCAGTCTGAAACCCCCCCCACGCGAAATCTTCGGGTCACTTCACCTAGCCTTGTAACCTCGTTCTCGTCGCAACCCTAAGCCTTCGATCCTAGTTCCTCTTCGCCTGATGGTGTCGTTCAAGGGATATCTAATCTATACTCTTCGTCCAGCGGTGTGATCGCATAGTCGAATCTATTTCGCTCGCGACTCGTTTCTGGTTCCTATCACAAACCGCGGCTGAGTACCTCCGAGACTTACTGCGTGGTGGCCCACTGCCCTCTAGAGTTTACGGAAAGCCCTGTGACCCTCTGCCGGAAACCCCTGAATTCCTGTAACTTCAAGCCACCCTTTCCCCGGACCATACCAGGGCCCTCAGACGACCTAGAAAGTCACTGGGTCTTGCTCGCCAGGCATAGCCACTCTGGAGATTATAAAGACCGAAAACTGCCTAAAACTTCTTTCTGGGCCACAGAAACCCCCAGATCCGGGGTCATTCAGAGCCTTGCTGGGGGTTACCGTCGCTCGATTTGGAGCTGCCGATTCCTGAAAAATAATGTAAGGTGGTTTCGGTGAGAATTTTGGTTCTTGGGACTCGCTATTTGCCAGGGTTCCGGGCCACCTGTCCCAACCTATCTCTTTAACGTGACTCCTAGAAGCGGTCGCCTTTGGCGCTGCTTTTTCGCACGCCATTCAACCGTCAGCCAGCAACCTGTCAGAGCAGCCAGCTACATATGCACTCGTATGTACACGTCCAGAGACAAGATTTCGATGCCTCTCCTCATCTACTAATGAATGTCTTGGTGAGCGCGATGCGGTACATGCTGCAACACGTCAAAGTTGTGGAATGGGTGGAGCGCTCGCAATCCTTAAAGCGTATATTTGCTCCAACGATCAATCGAGTCGGCGGTTCAAGGCGATTCCTCAATCACAGAAAGTACCCGGGAAGGCACGAAGATCGCTGCCGCTACGCCACCAACTCATTCCCTCGCTTCGATCCATGACCTGTGCGGTGTTCTCAGCCCGTACCATGTGCACCGACAATCACAAAGGACATGATGCTGTTGTGCATGCAGTCGATCAAGCGGATGATAGTACAAGTGCCACGAAGTGCGCCGCAGATGTGCCTCTACTTTTGGTAGCTGAAGACGTTGCGGAGCACTGCGTTGGCGTTAACATGGGGAGAGCACAGAAGGCGTGTCAGTGATCTGCCTCCCTCGAATGCAATGACGAACGCTACGAGCAAAAGGAAGCGCAAAGCCAAGAGGCGCCCCCAGCTTCGTTCCCCTGCTTTTCTACCCTCTTTCTTCTTCGCAGAAATGAATGTCCCATCACTCTGACACTCGAGCGGCAACGAAAGAAAGCACCGCCCAAGCTCTTAATGTGACGCTGCACCGAGGTACTTGCTATCCGCTCATCGTCAAGTTGTTAAAAATGGCTTGAATCCTGTCTCCGCCACGGAGGGTTCGTTCTGTGATGAACGAAGGCGGAGACAGACTGTCTAGGAGCGTGTGTGTTTCCGTCTGTGTGGCTTGGGTCCAGCTTTTCTGTCCACTTCTCTCTTCCCCGCCAGACCTGCCGGCAGCGTTCGTTGTCCTTCACTTGACCAGCTGCCACCATTCCCCTGACACGTATACCACCGCTTGAAACAAAGGCGCGACTAGAGAGTATACTCACAGCCCTCCTGCGTCGCAAGCCTGTTGAGCGAGTCGTCGCTCTCGCCGGACCGCCTGACAAAGCCGCTGAGCGCAAAAATCGTGTTGGACCCTGGAATAGCGCGGCCCTCGGCGTCAACATCGGCGACGGCGATCTGCACGGATGCGTGATCCTTGGCCTCGATAATACGGCCGGTCGCGGCGCACTTGCGCGGGACGTAAAGGTCGACGAGATCACCCTAATTGTGCAAGCAGATATTGGGTTAGTTTTCTGAACTTTCAAGCAGTGACCGGTAGTACGGAAGCGGTGGAATAGCTTTCTCTGAAATTGCTCTGCACTGCACACCATGCAGAAGTCCGGTAGGGAGGTTGTACTCTTCAATGACCCCTTTCCCACAATTCCTTCATCACTTGGCCAACACGTGGTGCAATTGAAGGAACTACGAGACCATGTTCTTGGACATGTTCCAACATCACGGACCTTTGCCACAAAGAGCCCAATCGCTGAGAAGAGACATGACTCAAGCCCAAAATGGTCACAGTCGCTTGCATCAGCTCTTGTATCGCCGCATGGCCTGCTTGCATCCAAGCCACCTGTGTTTGAACAGAGCTTCTTGAAGCAGTGGCGGAAACCTTGTATTTGCAGCTGATGTGTTGACCGACAAGCAGACGTGTCCGAGCGTCCTTTCTCGCTCTCCGACTGTGAATCCCTTCCCACTCTCTGCCAAATGGTCCTGTCGGCCAAGGTCCAAGACCTGGCTAGCATTTCACAACTACTTCACTTCCTTCGCCTTTGCCAGTCACGTGCCAGCGCCCTTTGAAAAGAGCATGCTGTTTTCGACAGCAAGTGAAGGTTCCTTGATAACCCCTTGCGCGGCGAGTAATATTTTGTGCTCGCTCTACCATCGGACCTGCCGCCGTGCTGCCAAAGTATGCAACGATTGCTCACCTTGTCGTTCTCCATGGTTGCTGCTTGCCTTTCTTGGTTGGTGAGACAGATAAGAAGTGGTGAAGCTGATGTCCAAGAAGAAGAAAGAGGCCCCTCCCCAAAGACTGGGAAAATGGTCGAGGATCGGTAGCAGGCTGGAAGCGCAACCTGCTGGCCAGCACTTGGTGCTGCTGCTGCTAGAGGACCGCCAGGCTTCGCTCGTCGGTCACAGATGCAGTGGGGGGGTGTGGATGGGAATATTGCGCCCACCGCCCGTCCATGTGGAGGTTTCTCGAACGCACGCTGCTGACCTTTAGAGAGATTGCTTACGTAATTCACTTTTGAGTCGATGATTCTCTAAAACCTTCGGCAGCGCCCCAGCGGCACTAGAACGGCGAAGGGAATGGAGCTATGCTTAGCCAAGCTGGCCGGTGCAGCATGCAGCACCCAGTGCTTGCTTCTTTGAATATCAATCTTACGAAGGCCGACGCAATCCCCCACGATTCCGCGCCGGCCTGCACGTTCTCTGCCTTTGCTTCCAAGCGTGGCCAAGGGCGACGTTCATGGTGGAAGGTAGCGGGCTAACCCCAGAATCTCCGCAGGTGCATGCTTCCGAGGAACACATGTCGTGATCTGCGTGGATGGTCACCCTCTACAGCTATTGCAAGCGCACCGTTTTTCGATTTCATCGCATTTCAGTCTCCAGGGAGTCGCTCAAGACAGGCCCTCTGCATTCTACATTCTTACGCGGCGCACGGACAAGAAATCTAGCCACAAGTGCACGCAACATGGCCCCTCCACCTAAACTGCTCACCCCGGCCCAGGTGCTTGCACGCACCGGCATCACCATTGCGTCCAACGAGGTGGCCTACCATGAAGGAGCAGCGGTAATCGTTTTCCCGGCAATGTCCACCTCTGCGATGGCGTCATTCTCATCGGCATCGGTGCTGCCTGGCGAAAGCCCCGGCCAAGGACCTGATGCCGCAGCATTCCTTAATCCTGTTCAAGAGTTTAATCGTGACCTGTCCATTGCGGCAATTAGGACATGGGAGGCGGATATGAATGCTGAGCGCAAGGAGAAGAGATTGAGAGGCTGGGCTAAAAAGCGTGCAAAAGGCAAGGGAAAGGCAAAGAATGGGAAGGACAAACAGCCGGAGACGGGTGATGCCGAAGTGAAGGGTGCTGCAAGTATTGCGGACTGTAGTGCGAAGCCTGCAGATCATGGAAAGCGAGTGAAGCCTCCGCACATACCGCCGTATCGCTTCACCATTCTAGAGGCGCTCGCTGCCACGGGCCTGCGAAGCATCAGGTATGCCAAGGAAATTGACAACATTCGGTGAGTTTCTTCTTGCTTGTAGCGTCTCGTCTATGCTAACTCTAAGCTTGGCCTCTACTATCCTTCAAGATTTATTCTTGCAAACGATTTGTCGGCACCGGCGATCGAGACCATGCGACGCAACGTGACGCTCAATTTCCCACCTGGCGAGGACACGATCGCGCCAGGCGAACTGGCTGGTGCAGCCAAGGCAGGTGATGATGCTGCGGCTTCACTGACCAAAACCTCGCCCACTGCATCAGTTGAGGAATCAGCAGCGGAATCAACGTCACTCATCCGCATCAACGAAGGTGACGCCCTCTCAGTCATGTACCAGCATCGCACACCAGCGCATGCCCAGTTCGATGTGGTCGATGTAGATCCATACGGCTCCGCGTCTATGTTTCTCGACAGTTCAGTGCAAGCTGTAGCCGACGGAGGCTTGCTGTGCATTACCTGCACTGACCTCGCTGTCCTCGCTGGCGGACAGTATCCCGAAAAAGCATATACACTGTACGGTGGCATGTCACTGCGCAGCGAGTACAGCCACGAGATTGCGCTGCGACTCGTCTTGCATGCCATCAGCACCGCCGCCGCCAGGTATGGACGCTATATCCAACCTGTTCTTTCGCTCAGCATTGACTTCTACGTCCGCGTGTTTGTGCGCGTCTGGACGTCACAAGTCGAGACAAAGCGACTTGCCGCGCAGACCGCCTTGTTGTGGAGCTGTCAGGGTTGTGGTAACAATGCTACGCTCCCGATGGGAAGGCGTAAACCCGGTCCCAAGTCGAAAGATGGCAAAGATCAGACCAAATATAGCAATGGGGGTGGACCGCCAATCAGCCCCAGATGCGACGAGTGCGGGGGCAGCTGGCTGGTGAGTTCCATTAAGCGGTTTTTGGGAGACAGCAATGCAATAATTCAATTCTCACACTGCACTTCTTTCTCTCCCCTCTCTCCGTAGATGGGTGGGCCGCTCTGGACGGGGCCCTTGCATGACACTGGCTTTTGCCATCGCCTCCTGGATATCGTGGCAAAAGACCCGAGCAAGTTCAAGACAGCTCCCCGAATCCGGGGCATGGTTTCAACAGCGGCGCAAGAGCTCGGAAATACTAACACGCCACCTCCAGCTGCTAGCACGGATGCCGGTGTAGCGGAAGGCACAGATGGCAACAAAGAAGAAGACTCTTTGATGAGCGATGCAGCAAGTCCGCTGTTCTTCTTTACGCCCAGTCGGCTGTCTAGCGCTTTTCACTCGCTCTGTCCGCCGCTGTCTGTCTATGTGAACGCTCTGCTTAATGCAGGCTACAAGGTCAGCCGCTCGCATTGCATGCCTGGAAGTCTCAAGACAGACTGTCCACGTCCGAAACTGTACGACCTGCAGCGCAACTGGCTCAAAGCACAGCAGATAGCCGAGGCAGGTCGTGCAAACGAGGAAGCAAAGGAGGAAATGGGTGCTGACCAGGGGTATGAGAAGGCGCAGGGCGATGCGGATAATAGGAAACGTGGTGGAGGGGCTGCGGACTCAAATGCAGCTGTAGATGTGGACGGGTCTCGCAAGCTCAAGCTCTCGAAGCGCATCCAAAAGATGAACGCGGCCTCGCCTGCCTTCCGACTCAATACCAAGCCGATCACCACCTTTTTTGACATCAACACGATACATCCGGCAGCGCAAAAAATCCTCGCCGCCGAGCTAGAGTCCACTTCGTACGCATCTTGCGGGGGCGACGGCGCAGACAAAGACGCAAACGCAACCGGAGAAGATAAGGCAAAGGGTAGAAAGAAGGAGAAGCTCGTACGGTATCCGAGCAATCCGCTGCCGAATTGGGGTCCAGGCACAGCCGCAAAGACGACAGTTGCACCGCCAAAGGGCAAAGCGTCAAATGCGGCGAAACGGTCGGCGGAAGGAGTGCAGAATGGAGATTCTCTAGCAAACGCAAGCAAGAAGACCAAGTGCGACTGAGGCTGTGACTCAGCTCCCCGCTGCCACGAGTGTTGTATTATAATTGAAGGGTTGAAAGTACCAGGTTAACTGAGTACAGAGTCGAGTGTGAAACTATGCTTGATCGATTGCATGGCTTTGGCAATTTGCGGAGTGCAACGTTGATGATGACGCGAGTTGCGCGCGGCCACGAACGAAACGACGGCTCACGCCTCGGGAAAGCCAAAGTGGTTGCCATTTGGTTAACTTTTAATATGACCTTTCCAATTTTCTGCACACCATCGCTGTCTACTAGCAGACTCTTACTCCACAAAAGGGCAGGGAGGACCAAGGGACATGTCAAGATGTCCTCGTTGGGCCCCTCTGCAGAGAACAATGCGTACGGCGTCCGCGGTGACGTCGACGAAGCTGCTACTGAACGTGATGCGCTCCTGCCCAACATCACCAATGACGACCTCGAGGATGTTCCACGAGGTCCGCCTGATAGCGCTGGCTTTTTTGCACAGCTCTCGCACGGATTCAACGAGACGATCGCGCCACTCGCCGAGCCTGAGCGTCTGCGCCCATTGGAAAAGGCTCTGCTGCTGCTGGCGCTCGTCCTCTTCCTCCTCACGTCTGTCTTTGTTGGACTCTTCGCGGGTGCACAGCACAAGCTCGCACATTCGGCTCCACCCTGGTCGTCTCCTTGGCCCTCCCCCACACCGAGTCCTCCAAATAAACCAGGCCATAGCGAGCCGCCCGTGGACAATCACCCTCCCGAAACTTGCTTTACGCGGGACTGCGTCCTGACCGCGTCGGATATCCTACGAGGCATCGACGAGTCCTTTGACCCTTGCGACGACTTTTACTCATTTGCGGTCAACGGATGGCTTTCATCGCACCCTATCCCAGCCGATGCGGGTCTCTTCGGCGCCGGACAATACGTCGCTGCGACCAATGCCAAAGTCGTGCAAAAGCTGCTCGAGGCGGCGCCGAGCAAGCCTCGCAGTAAGGACTTTGACGAGCGCAGCCTCACCAAGCTCAAGGGCTTCTACAACAGCTGTATGGACCCGCAGAGTCAGGACAAGTACGGGAACGAGCCGCTCCTCGAGATCCTGGAAGAGATATCCTTCCTATTCTCCAAACGGGACACCAGGAAGGTCAAGAAGCATGCCTTCTTTGCGTCCTTGACAGATCAGCTGGAGAATCCGAATGAAGCTGATCTTGTGCTTCAGGGAGAGAAAGCCTACCGTGATCCTCTCCCTCCGAATATCCCGCCTGGTCGATCCCCGCGCCCGCACTTGCCTTCGGACAAGCCCGGCCCGCTGCCACCTGCACCTGGCGGTGCCAATTCGCGCCAAGCTCGCTTCACGCGAACGCTTGCGTGGGTGCACTCTCGTGGCTTGCCGGCTTTGTTCCAGTGGACAATTGATGGCGACTATGGCAAGGATCCACAGTTAGGAACGCCCGCACTCTTTGCCGGTGGACTGGGCCTGCCCGACACCGAGTACTACGAGGACAAGGATGAGCTCGAGTTTTACGGCAACGTCATCGAGCAGGCTTTGTTTGCGCTTCGCGCGGAGATGAAGCAGACCATCCTTACCCAGGGTGAGGGCATGGGCGAAGGTAAAATAGGCAAGAAGGAGCTGCCAAGCAAGGAGGCGATCCGTCATCTCACAAACCAGGTCGTCAAATTCGAGCAATCCCTCGCCAACATTACACCATCGAGCACAGATGCGGACCCTTCGTCTTCGTACAACCCGACGAACCTGACAATCCTCTCTTACAGCATGCGCTCGATCGAGTGGCCGTCGTACTTTTCGGCTCTGGCCGTCAGGCCACCGCGGGTGGTCATTCTTAACGACCCATCCTTCGTGACGCGGCTCGACAGCCTCATCTCGCGCACACAGGATGAGGTGCTGGAAGCATATTTGCTCTGGACAGCAATTCGCTCTCTCGGCTTGAACCTCGGTCCGGGCGCGAGCTTGCGCAAGCCAGCCGACAGGCTGGACCGGCGCGCGAAAGGCGTTGACCCGGACGCGGAGGAGGACCGGTTGACGACGTGTTTGGCGAGCCTGAACCAAGCTCTTGGCTTCATGACGGGCCGCTTCTTTGTGCAGGAGGCGTTCAGTGCCGAGGCAAAGGCGAAAGCAGAGAGCATCGTGGTGGGCATTGTTGAGGCATTCAAGAGCCGGCTTCCCGAGCTCGACTGGCTTGACGAAAAGACGCGCTCGTACGCACGGGAGAAGGCGGATGCCGTTCGTGTTAAGGTGGGCTACCCGGACCGGTACCCAAATACCACAAATGCGTCAGCGATTTTCAACTTCTACGCTGACCTGAACGTGCACGAGGATGACTATTTTGGCAATGTCCTTCGGAGCAACGTCCGCCTGCAGCGAAGGCAATGGAGCTACACGGACCGTGTACTGAACCCTGCTCGCTGGGACATGTACACGTCGGAGGTGCGTGCGCTCCCACAATCCTTCCTGTGCCGCCAACGCTGACTCTCTTTGCTTGCTGTGCCGATATAACCCAGGTCAACGCATATTACAACCCTGGAGGCAATGAGATCGTCTTTCCCGCGGGTTTGCTGCAGCCGCCGTACTTTAGTATGTCGTGGCCGGACTTTATGCAGTACGGTGCGTTCGGCACGACGGCGGGGCATGAGCTGTCACACGCGTTCGACCCGGCTGGGCGGCTGTACGACAAGGACGGGTATCTGCGCGACTGGTGGTCGAAGGACACAACGGCCGAGTTCAACAAGCGGAAGGAGTGCCTGTTGGCACAGTACGGCAACTACACCATCTCGGACGGTAAAGGCGGGCAGCTGCACCTCAACGCCAAGCTTTCGATTGGGGAGGATGTCGCCGACGGCGGAGGAATCGAGCAGAGCTTCCGCGCGTGGTGGCACTCGCTGCAGAGTGGCGGCGATGCGGCCGCGGCTCGCAATGCGCTGTTGCCCGGCGTTAAGTACACACGCGAGCAGCTCTTCTTTATCGCGTACGGCCTCGCGTGGGCGCGCAACATCCGGACGGAAGAGGGGATAAGGCGTTTAAGGACGGTGAGGTTTCCTTCTTCACACCTTTCCCAGAAATGGCTTTCTGACTCCATTACCGACCTTCTACATCGACTACTAGGACGAGCACTCGCCGACCAAATACCGCGTTATCGGGCCCGTGTCGAACAGCCGGTCGTTCGCGGCTGCGTTTGGGTGCAAGGCGGGTGTCGACCGAATGGCCCGCTCGGACTCGGAGAGGTGCGAGATCTGGTGAAATAGCAGAGGCGGCGAGAAGACCAGCGCCAGCGCCTCGAAGAGGCTAGTATGTAACCATTCACGTTGCGCCAAAGGAAAGCAGTGTCAGGAGCACAAATTGGAACCAGTGTATTGCATGCGATCAGACTAGCAGTGCTTGCTCGGAATACATTTAGTGCCACCAAAATGTCACATGCCCCGACTTACCTCCCTAATTCAAGAATGGGGACGATGGCGGTGCACAGACTGTGGAATACGCAAGCCACGGAATGTGTGAATTATACCTGTGATCTGCGGAAATTTCCCGGAAAATGGCGTTGGGCTCAGGCCCCTTCCCAGGCTGGGGAGCTGGCGTATCGCGCCATTGCCCCCGAGGCTCGCCTAGGGCCATCCTGCGTCCGTAGTGTCTCTGGCTGAGGTCGCCATCGATGGTCACCCTTCTCGCCGGCAGCGTTCAGGCATTCGAACTCCGTCCTACTGGTCCCCCCGCACGCCTGCCGATGTTCTTACATCGTCGTCGCTCTCCAGGCGAGCGTCCTCGCT